TATATATATATATATATATATATATATATATATATATATATATATATATATATATATATATATATATATATATATATATATATATATATATATATATATATATATATATATATATATAGCGTGTAGTATTATATTAATTATGTATTATAGGCATGCACTAATGATAAAGGATCTTATTATAGCTTTGTTATAATTTTTTTACTCTCCTTTTTTTGTCCTGGTTTCCTTCTTCCTATAATGCTGGCAATTCCACTCATAAATTTTCTGAACAAGTGTTCTTACTCTTTCTCTGTCTTCAGTGAACGCTTTGAACTTCATATTTTGTACTTGTTTTAAACTCCTGGGTCCACAGTGTGACCCATGGAGTACCATTTGTTCATAGACGTCTTTTGGTGCCATAGTGCCTTGTTAGATTCAGTCATTTCTTCCAATTTCCTTTTCACAGCACATGTTCATACATACAGTACTCATTAGTGGTCTTCTTGCTGTTTAACATGAGGTAGAGGTTCTTGAGTCTACTGACATATTCGACCACTGCTACTCTCTTGATAAATTCCACGTTCTCCGGCCACTGAGTCAGCATAAATAATACTGCGTAAACATGACAATTTCGTCAAATACAGGTTGAGGCTCAATCAGAATGTGCTTGCCTTTAACAAATTTTTTACGTATTTCCTATCTTTCTTATCTACGTAATCCAATCTATAATCTTCGGTTATTAATTTAACATGTAATGATGGGTTTTGCAGGATCCAGTTCTAGACCAAGCACTGCAGTCGTCAACATAACATGCCCGTTTTCCGTAATTCTTACAGATGCTCACTCAGACTGTTCTTATTTTCCATGACGAAGGCGACATTTTCTTTGATGCCTTGTGGTATGGTTAAATTTCCAGATGGTCGATGGGCATAAAGCATCAAGGCAAGGGCATCTTCTGGAATGAGAATTCTATTCTCAAAAGTTAGCTTGATTGCCCCGGGAATCTTAAAAGTTTGAGTGAGTATCTTGTGGACTACTGTTGGTTTCTGGCATATTGGAGTCCAACTAATCTTTTTCGGAATTATTTACACCTACACTATTAATTTCTACGCCTTTCATAACTTTGGCATCTGTCCCCAAGCCAAATTTGTTTAGTGCACTATAAGCTGGGGCGATTCTTGAAAAAAACCGAAAACCGTCAAGAAAAAACCGGGTTTTTTTATCTATTTATAAATAACACAGACATAAAAGCTTACAGAGGTATAAAAATACAAGTAAGAACAGACAATGTTAAAAGAACGTATACCGAAAAACCGCCTCAGCCTAGTGCACTATAGTTTGGTTTGTTTTAGTTCACATATTGTTTTTACCACTCGAAGATAAAAGTCATATCATCGCGCCGCCGCCTGCAATATCCTCTATATATGTTCTGAAGTCAGACTGAGTAATCGCATAAGTAGCATAACTTTACTCCAGGCATTCTTTTCCGACACCCGGGCATTCCCGCAGGTCAACAGAAAAAAAAACATGTTTTTAATAGCACTAAAACTTAATACTTCCATCAGATCAGATCTTTCCAATAGTTCCAAAAAGTCATATAAAAATCGAGTCAAAATCCAGATTCCAGAAAAGTCAAAATTTGTCAAAACATTAGTACATTCTTTTCTGACACCTGGGCATTCCACCTTCAACATAATAACATTCAAACTTTAACACAAAAACTACTAAAAGAGTATTTTTGATTGACATAAATCAGATCAGGTCTGTTCTGTGGTTAAGAAAGCTAGGTCATAAAATGCAATGCAATGAAATATTTCTATTCAGAATAGTCAACATTTATCAAAACATTATGCACGAATCAAATCAAAACCTTGACATCCCCCGGGCATACCCCCGAGAATTTGGATTTTGACGTTTTGGTCAGGTCAAATTCCCGACATATATTTGTAATTCCCGTTCAAATACACCACGTATTTGGGAAAAATTGGAGTTCAAATACCCCATCCCATGTACGAATTGGAAGCTACAGCATTTCATAATTTTGGAATTACAAAGTTTTTCTTTCCTTCAAAAACTCTCTTCAATCATTCAAAGCCGTTTTCTTTCAGTCCACAAAGGACAAAGTTAATTCCTTTGCATTTTGCACTTCAACTCATCCATTGACGCCATTTTGAAGTCAGCACACATGCAGCCTTGTACCTAGGCACTTTGATGGCTTTGATGTTGCATGGCACACATGTTTAAAAGAAAAATTCAAATTCCGGACACCATAACAAATTCCCCACCTTCCACTAAAAAAAGGTCAAATTCCCACCTTCTTAAAATACTAAACAAGCAAATTCCCCAGGTATGCCCGGGGGGATGTCAAGGTTTCGATTTGATTCGCGCATTAGCACTCCGGGCATTCTTTTTTTACTCCTGGTGTTCCCACCGATCAACAATGAGAACACAAATAATTGCATATTTATATATATTCAACAAATTCAATTCCTGGGCATTCAACAAAAGACTCGCTACAAATCCTGACTCGTCCCCAGTCGTCTCTGTGAGCACGACTGGGGACGAGTCAGCTACAAATCTCCATTCATTCTCGTACCCAGAGCCCTTCTTACGCGCGTTCGACCGAGCCCGACGAGGGGCTCTGGCCAAATCCATAACCGGATACCATAGAAACATGGTATCCGGTTAAACACTGCGCATGCTCAACGTCAAACGCGGATAAACACTTCGGTTTTCTTGTTTGTTTCGTTTTGAAAGTTTTTCTCCAGGAAAACCGTGAAAAGCGGTAGGTTTCGCTAATTTTATTTATTTAAATCAATTAGTAGGTAAGACGTGATGTTCTCAATGCATGTTGATAAAAATTTAGTATATATTTCCCTCTTAAACGTTGCCAAAGCAGTAATGGCTACGGATACGAAGACGAGAGATTGTCTCACTATTTTATATTCGATTTTAAGTCGCTGTTGTACAGATTTTTAGACTTTTTTGTGTTTTATTAAAAGTCAACAGTCATACATAAGACATACTATACTGCAAATCATTTGAAAATTGTAAAAAATCGGTTTCTAGGAAGAAAATAGTCATCACAATTAACTTCATATTCTGGCTGGCTTTAATATTTTCTCTTCAGATGGCACTTCAGCTTTGAACATGTAACACAGATTTGTTTGATTAACATCACTGATTTGGAAATACGACGAGCATCTCCCATAAATATGCTGACTTTTTGCTACGAGAACATCACGTCTCAACCTATTAATTTCAATCAACTAATTGATCAGTTAAATAAATAAAATTAGCGACATCTACTGCTTTTGTGGGCGATTATCAACAACAATCTTCCTAACTGCTTCGTACTGCTGTTCTTTCAACTTTAATAATGTCTTTTCTCCCAATTTTCAAAGGGAAACCAACGCTTCGTGGAGCGCTTGTGTATTTTTATTCATATTTACTATAATAAACCATATATTTCGTTGTGGCCAATCAGATGCCAGTTTGATATGGATTTGGCCAGAGCCCCTCGTCGCTCTCGGTCGAACGCGCGCAAGAAGGGCTCTGGGTACGAGAATGCTTCGGAACCATATAAGGTAGAATAGAGCATTAAACGGCCAATCGGCTTATTTTTTCATGCTCTTTCAGATGAAGCAATAAATTGTTTTGTTGCTCATACCCTTTAAAGTGCTACTACAGCGAATTTTTGGACCTATTTTTTTAGCTCAACTAAAAATTCAGTCTTTTAGAAGCATTTTCATATATTTGACCATCATATGATGCTTAGAAGTTGCCAAATTTAACCCCTGAAGTTGGTTATCGCGTGCGCATTTTTTCGCCGCCATATTGATGCCGTGTGACGTCATAAGATGAACGGAAACGAAGGTATGAAGATCGTATTTGCAGTAAATTATATGGCACGTCAACATATTGCAGTGGAATTTTTGTATATTTCACTTGTTTATGGCGCAGATAACTGATTTTTAAAAATCGAAGAACAAGTGCTATATCTTATTGTTTATTTTACGGCGGAATGAAGGTTAGCGACTCAGATAGGCCTACTGTCGGTGCAATGGAAGTATTGATAAAATATTGCACGAATTCATTTTCTCAAGGTGATCAATTCATACGAATTCAAATTTCTTTTTACTTTCTGTACGTTTTCTATTGGTCAATCGGTTCTGAAACGAAATCTAATTGGCTCATCTAAAAGTTACAGGAAGTTGATCAATTTTCTATCAAATGAATTGATCAACTTGAGGAAAGTATATTGGTGCAATATTTTATCCACAGTTCCATTGCATCGACAGTAATAGGGTCAGTGCTCTGTACATCTGGAAGTCAACGAGTATGGAGTCGGTTAATTTGGCTTTGAAATACGATGATGAGCCAGTTGCCTAACAGCTTTTTATATACAGCTTCACAAGACGAAGTGATAGAGACCTTATATAACATCGCTGCAGATATAGACAACTACCATCTGTGACTATGTTGGAGCAAACAAGCGATGGTACAATACCTGTAAAATTAGTGGTAAGTAGATCCTTTTTATTGCATGTATATTTATATTGTATTGTGCTCGCCTCTGTATTGTGTCTGATCGTTTGAACACATCTGGTGTGTGCAACTTAATATTTATTATAAACTGGATTGTGCGTGACAAAATATATAATAACGTTTATAAACACAAGCATATTTATAGCCTAATAATTCGCAATATTGAAAATGATTTAGTTGGCAATTATGGGCTGTGGTTCTATTGATGGCTAGTTTGATTCATTTGGATGGGAAAAAAGAAGAAAATAATTTCCAACAACACAAAGATACAGCTGCCTTAGGTTCATGGGCGTACGGGAAGGAAAAAATTAGGGGGGCAGAAAGAAACAATTGTTGTCGACGGGGGGGGGGGGGGGGGGGGG